GTTATAGACCGGGAGATATTAGACTGAAGTTCGACGACGTCTTTCTCGTTTATACCTCTGAGAGTACTGAAAGATAACCGAGAGAAAAGTACAATAAACTTAAAAATTTAAAAGATGGGCTGCGGGACACCTTCGTGAAAATTCAATTTTCCTTTTCAAAAAAATAGTGTGTACAGCGACGCATTTCTCACTTCTTATGTCATGTTCATAAGTTGAAGAGAAGTATCGATTTTATCACAAAATTTTTTTGGCATAAGTGTCGCATGGGACCTAAAAATGGAAAACTTTGTAAGAAAATGTGAAAAACATCTTTATTTGTCTACCAATTTCTCATTAATGCCAATTAGAAATATGACATTATTATATTCGAAAAGCTCATAAAAAACATTGGCATAAGTCCTACTAAGGACTTATGAATATGGCATAAGCGAGAAATACGTCGCTGTACACATTTTTTTTTTGCAAAAGAAAATTAAAATTTCACATAGGTGTCCCGGCGGGCACATCGGCTTTTTCCATAATCTTACTTGTTTCTAATGTATCTTTCAGTACCCTAAAAGGCATAAACGAGAAAGACGTCGTTGAACTTCTACGAGTATCTCCCGGTCTATAACTGGCCGCGTAAAATTATCGGTATCACGTTCTCCACGACGCGACCACGTCAAACGAGAGATCATCTGTCGTTGCAATGGCGATTCCGTTATGGTAAGGGCAAGCCTCCAAGTTATAGCTCTTTGAAAATCACCCAAAATTTCGGGATTTTTTTAATATCCCTTCATTTCTGTGCCTAGTGTATAATGAAGATACAGATCTATCAGATAAAACGTCCTTAAAAGTAAGTATTACGTAATTGGAAATATTAAAATCACCCAACACCCAATAATACTAATATGTCATCTTTTAAAACAAGAAAAATAATAATTCAAAGACATTTATATTAGAAGAAATTCATACATTAAAACGTATGCGGAAGAATGGTTAAGATTATTTTAATAGAAAATACAATTAAATGAGGAAAAACTGGGACAACTATTTGCCCAAGGAATAAATGTGCCTACATTTAAAAAACCCTTCTCGATTGCTCTCTGTGTCCTAAGGTTACATCGTATAGGTATTTGTTAGCATTGCTTGAATCCAGAAAACTTACCTGCAATTTCTAAATCCTTCATGCCTCCCATATCACCTTTGTATGAAAACTGGTACATATAAACGTCGGTATAGTTGGATTGTAACTTTGCATGCCTAATAACAGGGGTTGTACACAACTCATCACTGCAAAACTAAAGAAAAGTTTTATTATAGTTCCTTTTTTTCTTGGAATATTGTTTGAGAAAAGTTGTGATCTTTTGTAGAAGTCACTTTAACGGAACATGGTAAAACGAAATTACTGTAATTATTTGCAGGCTTCTCATTTTTTTTTTAAAGTAAATTTTCTCAAACATGATAAAATGAGACAGTGCTCCACATAACAAAATTGTTACTTCCTTTCAAGTCCACCGATTTTCCGAGGTCTAGTTACGTGTCCGTTCAGATTTTATGAAAGGTTAATATGCTATTTTTTCGTTACTGAGAAATTTTTCCTTTCGAACAATGTAGTAACAATTTCAACAAACACATGAAAAGCAGCTTAAAAAATATATGGATGTTCACTACTTGCCCAGGATCGTCTTCGAATGTTCCATCGGTGTAAATTTGTCTCAGTCTAGTGCCAGCTGTCAATTTGTTCTCTGTGGTCATTCATATTGAACTTGTTTCTAATGAGGTTGGATATATCACTGTCGAAACATTTAGCACGCGCCTCAACATCTGAAGGATATTAAAAATATCGCTTGACATTTGTATCAAATAATAAAACGTTTGAATAAGTTTTCGCAATCTTACCATCAAAATTAAATAGTGCCTCTTCAGAGTTTAAACCAATAATTATGGGAACTTGGTTTATGTTTCCTGTTTTAATGTCTTCATGAAATAAACCTGTCAGGAATGCTCCATCTAGACTAGCGTCCTCAATTACAGGCAGCCATATTAATCCTTGGCCTTCCATTAATCCAGTCTCTTTTCCAACAGCAGCCTAAGCAAATTTTGATTATAGTGTTTGATCTATATTTAGTTTTTAACTTCTTACTCATCACCAATCTATCTAGAAAATGCCTTCATTCCACTTACAGTAACTGTGTTGTCGGTTATGTTTGAAGCAGGAAAGCTTTGCAGCAGTTCTAGTAATTCCGTTGAATTATCTGAAGTGAACCTTGGATCCAAACTTCGGGCTAATTCGAAAGCGTAGAATCGTGCATAGTTTTGATGTGCCCCCTGAGCTATTGGGGTTAAACTTTGTAAAATACCACCTCTGAATAAACCTTTATTCCGTTGACTTATTAATTGGAATCCCACAGATGCCGCTCCAGCACTCTGACCAGATATCGTTATTTTTTCGGGGTCCCCACCAAATAGATCGATATTATTTTTAACCCACTGAAGTGCAAAATGTTGATCTTTTAATCCTAAGTTTCCTGGTATGACTCCATCTTCTGTTGTCAGAAATCCTGAAAGAATATAAATTGAGAATAAGATTATCAGAATTTTAGAAGTGGGTTTTAATATCATTACTTGTTATTTTGTAATTACTATTTGTTCCAAATTGTTTTCGCTATGAAATGTTATTATTTGTTTATTTTATCTTTGTTTTTAACATATGAGAAATACGTTCCAAGTTTAAGGCACAATAAGAAGAAATACAAATACATGGTAACAATATAAGTAAAAAATTGAAAGTTAATATCAAAAGCAATGTAATGATATTATGTTAATAAAACAATGAAAAAACATAAAAAGTTATAAAAGAATAAATAACAAAAAATGACTATAAGTCTAATTCACTGTTAAATATGTTTCAGCCTCGTATACTTTCGATATTATTTTATATAATTCGATAATAATAATTTCACGTACATTTGTAACCTATGTCATTAAGGAAAAAACGGAATAGCAAGTTTCCTAATACAGAACCTTGTGGAATACATGACGTTGCAATATATTAAAAAGATAATTATTTGAGTTAAAGTTACCAGAGGCTTAGAGAACCCAAAGTTTGAGAGCTTATTGAACAAAAGATCTAAACTATCAAATTGCTTAAGTGAAATCAAGATATACTGCATTCGTTGAAGCAATTATGTCTCAAATTGAATTTCAAACATAACATTTTTTTCTGTATCTTTACTCTTGTAAAATTCGTGCCAAAAGGAGAATTTAGATTTTTTGATAAAGAAAACTGAAACGTGAATTAAAAATTCAAATATCTTATAATCATTGTACATATATGATTGACATTGGTCTATATAGTTACTTACATCAAGTTTCTATCTGTTGAATTCGGATATAAATACGTGTGCCAGTGGCGGAGATACTCGTGATTACTTACACTAAAAACCTCAGAATTTGGACGCTACTGAATATTTTGATAATTCTATCACTACTAGTTTCAATATTCTGCATCAAGCGCCTTCAGAAATATTTTATAAACCGTGATTTTTTTTTAGATTTCAACACTGCATCTCGAAAACTGTGGATTGTGGACCTATGTTTATGTAACCTTTTTCGTCTAAAATCACTGAATTCATCCCTTAAATGTGTGCACATGTTTCGTTAACACCCAGAGTTTATTATGTCAGTTGGAGAAATAATTGTATAATTAATTTTTCTTCTTGAAAAAGCCCAGAATTTTTTTTAATTCGTTTTTAGCCCTTTGTATGAAGAAATATGGTGCTATACATCTGATTTTATGGTAATCTTTAATATCTTAAAATTGTCAAATCCTCAGTTTTTTAAATAATTTTTTGCAAAATGACCAATTATATTAAAAATCGTAAATATTATAAGAATGCTTATAGAAACCATTCGTCTTATTTACTGACATGGTCCTCCTGCTTGGAGATGTCCTTTACGAAGAACCTACTTCACCAATTTTATTTCAGTTGTTTCATTATCTCTAACCTTTTAGCTCTACATATGTGGACGGAGCACGCTCCTTAGTTTCCTTAGCTTAAGTCTAGTTGTTTGTAATAACGTAGAAAAAAGTAGGCTTCTCATACATGTCATATTGTAACATTTGTCAACAAATATACAGTCCACTTTAAGGTCAATTTATTTACCACAAAACCAAACAATATGTTCTTTTGACGGGTACATCTAATGAAATTGTAATTATGCCATTATTGTTATTATTTTTACTAAAAGCGTTTCATATTTATTAGTTACCTAGAGCTCCCAAACGGTAGTTTATCGTAACAACAACAATATTGTGGTCAATGAAGAATCCAGGTTTGTATGACTGCATAGCACCAGTTCCAGTTTGAAATCCACCTCCGTGTGTCCATATTAACACTGCTAATGGGGCTAGTGAAGCATCTCCAGGTTTCTAAAAGAAAATTTGCGTCGATAATTTGATATTTGATAAGATATTTGAAAAATAACAGTAAAATAAATGCAACTTCAATATTTTGAGACGTTTAATTTTACTGGAACTACACCTGCATCAATCACATTTTTGCATAACTTTATTATTAAATAAAAAATAAATGTTTTGGCCAAGAATGCTTAAGCTCCTTAAGCTTATATTTTTTCATATTTTATTTTCTCTCTTTGAATCTAACTAAATAATAGTAATAGTGACAGACATCGGCAAAAAGAGTGTGATAACAATGTCTAAAATTGTTGATATTAAAATGACTGCAGTATCAGATAATTGTGTCTATTCTTACCAGAGGAGTGTAAACATTCAAGTACAAACAGTCTTCCGTTGGGTTTAATCCGGGAATTGGTACGTAGCCGTCTTCACTTTGGTAACAATTTTTTTCATTTTTCGTGGTGTTTAATATTTCTTCCCATTTTGCTGTGAATTGAAAGTTAAAAATAAAAAGTAAAAAAATATATACGTTTTTATCCTTACTTGAAATCTCAATTCGCCTTAATAGGTGGAGTTGCGTACAGTGTGTCTTGAAATGCATAATAAACATTGTCGTTTGGAGACTGCAGGGCTTGACCTCTTATTTGTCCCTCTGGTAAAGTGACAAGTGTCGGGTCATCTACCTAGTTATAAAGAAATATGTGATATTTGTGGTACTTTAACTAGATACGTAATAATAATAAACCTTATTGCCCAACAGACAAGACCAATAAATAATAGGACAATTACATATAGAACAATAGGTAAAGTAATAATGACTAATAAATAGAAAAATAACAAAGATAATGACTTATGTCAGAAATCTTGATCTAACAGGTGGGCCAAAAGAAATGACCCTATTGGAAGATGCTCTTATTTTTGCAAATGGCGGCCAATGTCAAATCTGTTTTGACATTTGTGAACTAGACAGATGTAGAATACAAGTGAACAAGCCATGGAGCGATACACTCCCCAACAACGCGGAATAATCGTGTCTATTTTTTTTGCGTAACAATTCGTCTGTGGTGTTGGCGCAGCGCGAATTCCGTCGCCGATTCCCCGGTCTTCCGGCACCGACTGCGCAAACACTGCGCCGTTTGGCCACCAACCTTGAAGAGTATGGCACCCATACAAAATATAGTACTAACGTAGAATTAAGAGCAGGATTACGAGAGCGAAAGTCATAACACTTCTTAGATGGCGATTGGATGCTCTTTTCCTAATTTCTTGCATAAATTTGAGAACCCAATTTTCAGACGAGAATCTACTCGTCGGTAACTCTCCATTAATAAAATCTAGCCATTCGCCAGTAGATGGTACTGATTAGCATACATTAAATAATGCAAACATGTCATTATAGATGTCCTCGTACACGGCATCGGCAATGAGAAGTTTAAAAAAACGCCATACAATTTGCACAAAAAACGGGAACCGTCTTTTTATGAAGTTTGGTTATTTCATTTATGATATTGATGTGTCCTGCGTCGTTTGACATCGTAAATATTATTCTAGTTTGTGAGTTGTGTATTGTACTGATACTTTTTT